TCTGCTTGGAGAATGTAGGTAGAGAAACGAAAGAGAGACGGAACGTAACGTATGTATATTCGCGAGAAAGAAAAACAGAGAGGGAGAGAGAAGAGAAAGAGAGACGAGAGACACGGATGAGTTGCCGGCCTAATAGTCGGTACTTCTTCGAAATCACAATTCTAACGAGGGTGCTCTCCGAGCGGTGAGACTTCGCGTGCGCGGAAATAGCGGTGTCCACGTGTGTTGTCGCGAGGAATGAGATGTAGATGGAGACGAGGGAGATAACACCGAGACGCCAGAAAAACGCGAACGTCGATAGCTTTCCGCAATTAATCACAGGACGCTGATCCGGCGCGGTGCGGCGCGGCGGTGAGCGTATTATTACGAATTTTACGCTATTCCGCTAATTACGAGAGGGTACTTACGGGCGATTAATAACACGTCCGACGATATAATAGCGCCGTATTTAAAAAAATACTCTCCGTTAAACGAGCTATGTAATGGGGTCTTTGAGGTAATCCGCGCGCGTCGGTCAATTAATTAAATGCAATTGTAATGAACAGCACAGGCCTACAAACCTCAATCTATACTGGACAACACGCCGCATATACTTTCCTGTTTTTTTCATCAATATGTTCAATAAGGTCGTGAGATTTTCTAATCTATTCCTTCCTTATACATCTGGCATTCTGTGCAACATGCATATACTTTTTTTCATCCTTTTTTTAGGTTTTTAAATTACCTGCACAAACCGATTACGATAGGAAAGTTTAAAACAATTTAACGAGATGTGTTTACTAGCGAAGGAAACATGATGACGAAACAAACAAAAATCGCGCGACGATTATTAACGCCGGGCGAGTCATTATCTGCGCCGCATTAATTATCGCGCTATCTTAACCAACTGCGCATTCTCTATCTTGACGTGCGAGATATTGTAACCGAATATAACGTTGCGAATAATGTTGTCGGCTTTCTACGTGAACGCGGACCGACGGCGAACGGGCGGGGAGATGGTCCATAAATCAGAACCGCGGGCCCCCGAGAGAAAAGGTCACGAAGGAAGTCGGCGAGGAGCAGTCTCGGCACGGATTTAATGAGGTACACGCTTCACTTTCCGCGTTTTCCGCGGGAGCGGTCTTAAACGACTGAACGAAAATTACACCTCGTCGCGCGGCGAGACGCCGCGAAAGAGGTGTTCGGTATTAATTCCCCGATCCTATCGTTTTATTCGCGCGCGCGCGCGTTCCTGTTTTCCTTCCATACGCTTAATCGATCGCTCGATACCGAAGCTATACGCGCCGGCAGCTGCAGTTTGTGAGGCCGTTGCGCGCCTCGCAGTACCGATACACCGTCCGATAGCATCCAGCGGATCTATCGATTCCGCATCTCTCGAAGAATTTAATGAAACCTTCGGCCAAAGTCGAATAAGACCAAGGCAATTTTCTATCTAATTTCGATAGCCATCGCCGGCAGCGCGCGGAGTATATAGGATCGTTGTTAGTTATTAACGGACGGCCACGGTCGTCCTTCGGGGATGGCTCGTTACCCAAGGATCAACCTTTTTGATTACATCTTATATACGAAGTAGAATGCTCGCTTTTTTTTTGCGGCTCACAATACCGCGCCGGAACGTTTTGCACAGTATTGTCGCGGCGCTTCCAATCATCCGCGAGTATCTACGAGAACACCCGGCATCCTTAATCTCCGAGAGATTTACAACGTCGGGTAGCCGCGACGAATAGATCTCGATAATAGAAGCGGCTCTCGCTTTCATCGTTTCAAAGTTCTCCTGTCGTTGAGAAGAATGGAAGCGATATACAGACGGCGCGCCGCCGCTACTATACCTATACTACGCCCGCGCCGCCGCGTGCGTAAAAACAAACTTTCGTACGAGATTGCACGCGGCATCGCTGAACGACTGGTAGAAACGAAGGAATACTGAATAATTCAGGCAGTGACCGTAGCGAGTGACGTCACGATAGTATTCAGCCGGTGGACTGTTCAGGCTGAGCGACCATGCGTAACTCCATCCGCTCGGCCGCCGCGCTGCCGCCGCCGCCGCCGCCGCCGATGAAAATTTCAACTTTCCGTAAATATACCCTCGCACATACACACACTCGACGCGGAAAAGTGGAGGAAATACCTATGGGGAGGGAAAAAAGATTTTAATCTAATTCGCGCGCGCGTTACGAAATATCTCGCGAGACTTTAATCTGACGTCCCGCGCGTGCACGCACCTCACGCGTCGATTTTCGCAAATCAAATTGCTCCTCTACGAGAACGACTTTTTTTTGCGCCGCGTCTATTTCTCCGTGTCCGTTACACTTGTGCCGTAATGCGTGCCTCATGTTGCACCATCATTCGGTCGCTCCCCAGTGATATACATATTTCGTGATGACGTATCCTCGCCGTGAAAATCCTGATCCAGACGCGATTCTCGCGTGGACGTACGGCTCTTTCGACATCTTTCATCCTGGCCTGGTTATCATTCAGAGGCCATCGCCGGATATCTCGCAATACACGCCGTCTTTTTCCCGCTATTGTATGGAAATGCTAGGAAGAAGTCTTTCTCGCCCGTGTCCCTCTCGCGCGCGCGGTGCCGATCTGTTCGCGGTTACGAAGGATGAACGGAATAGAAATCGAAGTACGACTATCATTAGGGACGACGTCGCGAGTCCGGGACCATTGTTCCGATATTCGCATCGTTCTCTAAATGGTTCAACGTCAATGTCAGCGGTCTGTCGTGCCCGATTGAAAAGCTTCGGTATTTAAGATCCTATCTGTTCTGCACATCCGTTCCCTTTTATCTCTATCTTCAATCGTTTGAAATTCGTAGAAAATATCTAACGTCGTTTCAATTCAATGCAGACAAATATGTACTATGAAATTGGCCACGGGAAGAAATGCACTTGTAATTAAAGACCTTTACACGAATATCTGGATGGCCTCCGGATGATAACGAGGTCAGGATGAAAGACGGCGAATATCTTATTACAAGAGAGAGAGAGAGAGAGAATTTTTTCAAAATATATTTTCAATCGATTCTTTTATGGGAATATGCATATGTAATTAAATATCTTTACAAGAATATACTTTATATTGCAGTGGAAGAGACAAGAATTCTCTTAGAAAATATATTTTAACCACTTTTATGGGAAAGAATCTATACTGGCTTTTCCACGTTGAAGAGATTATTTAATTAACATTTCTTCATACGTCTTCTTCAGTTTCAGACTAATTAGAATCAATAATTAGATTTTAATTAAGATGGATGCGATCACGCGCATTCCTCGAATCAGGTCCTGCCCTCACGCTCGGATGAAACGATGCTCGAATTGCATGCATCGGCTCCTTTCACTTGTTCCAGCGAAACGTCTTTGCGACCCACGCGCGAAACGAGACCGCGGCGCTCGCCTCACGCAAATCGAAATTGCCGAGAGTTTTCCTCCGCTCCTCGCGTCGAAAAATTAATCTAGCCTGTCCGGCGCGTGAGAACCGGGCGCTTGCCGAGTAAACGCGGCCGCGGTCCGCTCGTCGTTAGTCGTCAAGACGTTTTCACTCCCCACGTGGGAGATATTCACACGAGACAGGATATATATATATACAATATGTATACACGCGGAAAGCGATGCGGAATATTTATCGCGCGCGTTGGCGTAGATATTCGCGTTTCTGATTGCGCAGAGATTAATCTGTAATTTATACGGCGCGCGCACGCGGAGAAGCGCAGGCTGCCTACCATATTTCTCGCGGCATTTATTGTATAGGAAAGAAAAATCCTGCGAAACTATTCGAGAGCCGACGCGTTCGCATATCGCACGGCACGCTCTGACGAGTCTAGCGATTTTTTTTCTCGTATTCCAGTATCCTGTATCTATCCTTGCATTCGCCTGCCCTGGCATTTGCCGACGCGCGTGGGAAGAGGTTGATGAAGTTCCGCAACCGATGGACGTATTGTACTTGTTACACGTATTAGATCACGTAAAGGAGAAGGTCCTCGATCGGCGCGCGCGCGCGCGAGTGTACAACGTTAGTGCCTTCGCGGATTAATTCTTCATTTCGTGCGGTCGTTATTAGAATCAGAGTGAAATTGTCCTCCCCCCTCCCGCCCCGTCCTTCTTCCCATCCTTCGTCTGCGAGAGCTAAGCGTGGAATACATCGTTCCGCTCGCTCTACCGAACGCTATACGCTCCGAAAGGAGCTTAATTCTTTGTGCCGACACTCTGTGTGAGAAAGCTCTGCCCTCAGCATCTCTCGAGAGATGCCAACGGGCGAGTCCTGGGGAGAGCAAGAAAAAGAGAGATAGAGAGAGAGAAAGAAAGAATCGCCGCACGTAGCGATCCCTCGAGATTAACTCGTGCGCACGCGGACTCGTTCACATGCGA